AGAGAGAGAGAGAGAGAAGAAAGTAAAATGGGGAGATGGACTCCCTGATATTTTGGTTTTAAAACAGGGGCAAATGAGTCCCTTGCCGCTCTAAGAAAGCCCCTATGTGGATGGGGAGAGCAAAAATAAAAACTAAAATCTCAGCAAGTTCATTTTCTTAAACTATCATCTCTCTTATAAAAATATTTTATTATTCATAAAAAATGAATTGATTTATTAATTTTTTTGGGGAAAAAGCTACTTACAAAAGAATTGTAGCACACAAGATGCCTTAAAAAATAATAATAAAACTAAAAAATGAAAGAACTAATCAGTATAATCAAATTAAAAAAAAATTCAACGTTATAAATGCATAAAATATTATCTCTATATACATGTAAAACACTTCTTTGTATACATGAAATTTGGAGAAAAAAAAGACGAAGATTATACTCTTTTTTTATGGAATGCGATAATAAATGAAATATTACTATGATTGAGTGATGTCAATTGAAAGTAAAACAATGATATGAATTTAAAATCGAAAGATTTGAAAGTTATCGAAAATTTTGGGGTTGATCTACTAATTTTTGCACTTGGTGCAAATCGATGCCTCTATTCTTTGTTAAAGCATCCCAAATCAAAATCCCTGAACGAGATTGGGTTTTGAGTTTGGATCTAGTTGATCTGACTCTAGAAAATTTTGGTGAATAGTAAATCTGAAATGAAAGTCTCAATGTGAGATTTTTAGTGCTTTTTTATTGAGATACAAGCCTATGATTTGTTGAAGAACCCAAAAATAGGCTTGGGAAACAAGTTTCATTTAAGGTCGACCAACTGTTATGAAGAAATCTCAACTTTTTGAATTCTGCCAAAACCTAGGTCAAACTTTGATCTTCAAATCCATAACATATGATTTTTTCCCCTCAAATTTTTTGTACAATTGATAAATCATGGAATTCAGTTGAAATTTGAGCTCAAATGGATGCTCCACAGTCGAGATTATTGGGGTTTGGATTTCTGCCTCTTTATATTTATGAAAAATGCTCAGATTTTCTTAGAGAGGAAACCTTAGTTTTAGTCATACTGTGAAGTTAACCTTTGATTGTTTGATTTTTCATTGGATGATTCAGGGTGTTTGATTTGTAATCTTTCGTTTTACAAATCACTTTGAGATGAAATGTGGGTTGATCCCTTCCCAATTGGGTGAACCCAATAAAATAAGAAAAATATATCTTATAATAAACCAAAATACCATTGTATTAATGGAAATATTTTTTTCTTATTTTTACTAGGTGCGCCCCTGTGAGAAGAGGGGAAATTTCATCTAAACATATATATTTTTTTAGAAAAAATTCAAAATAAACCCTGTTAGGCGTAGCATTGTGGTTGAAGCTATCCCAGCCATCGATCGAGATTAGACAACTGAGAATAGGAGTCACATATGGCTATATGTGGGAAGCTCCACATGGAAAGGTTTCCCTTTGTAGATTGCATCTTATAAGCACATTAATTACAAATTAGACATGTGTGAATGTACTTTGAATTCTAATTATTTAATAAAAATATAATTTATTACGACTAATTTTCTTTTTTATGACCACATTAATACTTCGATAAATTTTTTTTTTTTTTTTTAAATTATACTTGTAGACACCTGTATCCCGAGTGAGGGAACCATACGAAAACCAAAAGTCCCTTGAGACAACTACCCAGAGACCTGAACTGTTCCCAACACCTAAAAGAACTATACCTCACTACTCAGACCAAGGATAGAACTCAGAGCTCAACAAGGCAGCCTCAGACGACCCCCAAGAGAAAAAGAGGGCCAAAAATGAAGGACCATGACAAGAAACAAATGCTTAAAGGAGAAAGAGGCCAACTTAAATGGAACAGTCGTCAACGTAGGTTCCAAAGGCGTTTGTAAGGCGGTGATCCCTACAACGTAGGTTGGAAAGCCGTTAGCAGAAAAGGCAAAGACGTTGGCTTCTCTTTGGTCAGAAGGCCGGCTTAACCGCCTGACATCGGAATGAAGGAAATTGTCATCATTATGAAAACATAGGAGCTATCGACATCAACAAAGTTGGTGTCAACAGTGGCTTCTGATTGGTTGGACAGCTGGCTTAACCGCCTGACACCGGAGTGAGGGAAATTGTAATCAACTAATCATTATAGAAAACAATGGATCAAATGGTGTTGACGGCTGTGACCTACTTGACACCTCCTGATTGGCCAGGGCAACCACTATCTGCTTGACATTGAAATGCGGGAACTGAAACCAAATGATTGCAGCATCATTAACCGAAACGATGATGACAACGTCGTTGACCCACCTGGCTACTTCTGATTGGCCAGAACCACTGTCAAAGACAAATTCCCAGACGGACAGTTGGCGTCATGATGGTGTTACTGAAAGCACCACCCTTGTTGACAACCTTGAGAGCCTTGTTTTGTCCCCAAAATACCTCTCAACAAAGAGCCTTGTATCGACAATGAGCTTGCCACTCCTGTTGTGTCTTCAACATGGCACCACCGGTAATCACGCGGGTCGTAACATCAAGGTAGCGTGTCATGCAAACCTGTAAACATTGCAGGCCAACAAGTGTCACAACTTTGTTGATGAAATAGACAACAACGATGGCCATCAACGGCCCAGGTGTGATCTCATATTTTGATGGCGTTTGGGAATGCCACCTGACTATAAATTGAGGCACGCTCCCCCCCCCTTATGAAGAAAGAATTTTGGCACCAAGGCTATACCATTTTCAAACTCACCAGACCCTGCCTATTCGAACCCAAACCCAAATTCGACCCGAACCTAATCTCGCCCTAAACTGTGATTCCCAATCCTATTTCCAAACCCCAAATTAAATCGCTTACATTGACTTTAATCAGCGAATCTCTGAAAGCTCAGGAAAGGCCACGCTTGGATTGATCTTGAATGCTGTCTCCGAGCGCCGGACCTTGAAATTTGAAATATTTCTAGCGGCATTAACTTTGTTAGTTTCTTGTCTTCCAACTCTAATAACCGTTATTACCTACACAAAAGTCATTTAGAGCAACTTATTTGCCCTAAAGATATCTTATAAGGACGTACACGTCCATCTCTCTCTCTCATGCCCAAACAACGCCAATCCCATCCCCTCTCTCTCTCTCGTTCCCAATCTCTTTCTCTCTCTACCCCAAAACCCTCTCTCCCTCTCTCTCCCCCAGATTGACCTCTGTGCCATACCCCTCTCTACCCAATATCTCTCTCAATCGATATTTCTTGTCTGTGTTTCTTAAATGGATGGACATGGCTCTTTTGAACTCTCGTTCTCGAGATACACAAATGTGGTGGCCATTTCTTGTAGTTAAGAGCAATGACAACCTTCGCTCTCTCTCTCTCTCTCTATATATATATATATATATATATATATATATATATATACTACTATTATTTTTGTTCGTCGACTAACTACCTACTACTACGTCCTCTCTACGTACGTACGTCGTCGTACCTTCCTTCCTACTACTACGTCGTCGTACT